AGATAAATTTAACTTGAGTGCCTTTAGTTTTGAAGCAATGTGAGACATTTCCATAATGTACTCCCGAATGTTTCCTTTCCCTTTATACCTCATTGAGACAAGATTTGCCAAAAGTGTACTTGTTTTAGCCTTTTCATTCTTGGCAAACCTCTTCTCAAGGTCCTCAAAGAAACCCTTAGCCGTAGTCACCTTATCGGACATAGTGCCCCGGAATACTTCTCGAATAGCACGCTTCATGACCATTAAGCTTATGCGGTTCGATCGTTCCCACTTTTTCATCTCCCGCTTGTCATCAGAGGTACTCTTATCAGTAAGTGCAGTAGGTTGATCGACCCGTAAAGTAAGGTCTAGGTCCATGACTCCGAGACCAATCATAACGTTCTCTTGCCATGCCCTGAACTTTGTGCCATTTAACATTAGAATAGAATTGATGCTAGCAGAGATATTAATAGCAGAACCTGAAATTGAATTAGAGAACATTTATTATGAATAGCTCACATAATATCTTTAATATGCAAATAATAATAATCTCAAATAGTGGTAGGGCCCATCACAAGATACCAAGCACAACATCAATATCCAGTCTTTGGATAAAAAAATTGACTTGTAAGCGGCACTCTTGGTGTAGTGATCAAACATTGACGATAAAACAATGTGTCAATCAATAAACCTTTCTTTGGACCGATTTATTGATGACACATTAAACCAAATAATCGTCACACGTTTATCACCACAGGTGCACGTGTATTCGGCTAAATATTGACCTTTCTTTGGGCCGATCAATATTCCGATGAATAACACATGCACAAACACTTTTTAACATTCTAAGTTAGTCAATTTTCACAAGAGAGGTTGCTTTGGCAACATGCTGCTTCAATTAACTAACTTTCGAATATTATATCTCTTAAAAGAGTTTTTAGTACCAAAATTTGAGCAAGAGAATCACCAATTTTGCATATTTTGATTAGTTTTAAACTTTAGGGGCCTTAGGATTAATAATTCAAAACTTTAGGGGGGCAAAATTAATTAATTCCAAACTTTAGGGGTTGAAATTAATGAACTTGAAACTTTAGGGACCAAAATTAATTAATTCAATACTTTAGAGGATCAATTAAAACAAATTTTAAAACTTTAGGGGCCAAAATTGACCAATTCAAAACTTGAGGGATCAAATTTTAAAAATTTGAAACTTTAGGGGTCAATTTGAATTAATTATGAACTTAGGGGGCAAATTTGAACTAGTAATTAAAGTTTGAGGGCTTTAATTATAAATTCAGAACTTTAATGGTCCGAATTAATTAATTTTAAATCTTAGGGACTGAATTATTAAATCTGAAACTTAAAGGCCCAAATCTCAATATAACTTAAAGGTTAGGGACTGAAACCTTAAATTTATAACCCTAACCCTAATTGCAACCAGGGGCCTCAACTTATCTAATTTACAGAAGAGGCCCTCGTCCCAAAATTCAGCCAAAAAACCAGAAAACCCTAAAAGAAAAATTTTTCTTCTTTTTGGCGCCCGTCGGCGTCGCCTGAAGCAATGGCGCCGGCGTGGGCGCCACAGCATCTGTGGCGGCAAGGCCGTCGGCGAATTCAATTTTTTTTTTTTAAATCTGTACTAAAATCTGAATTCCAAATCTGAATTTTCTAAACTGAATCAATCCGAATGAAAATAACAAAATTATACCGCAAAAATTTTCAAATTTAACAAAACATATAATCAAAAATTGTTAAATCTGAAAATTTCAAAATATATTGCAAGAACCAAACTAAGCATACCTGAATCAGACATGGTTAATGCAATAGGAATGTCGCGGAATGGTCTTCCAAATCTACACGCAGTCTCCTTTTCTTCTCTGTGATGGGATGCAGTAGAAAATGAATAATACGTTGCCTGTGATTTGGAGACCAAAACCTATTTATATAGGGATTCCCTTTGACCTAATTCGGCCCATCATAGAATTAGGATTTGGGCCCGGTCTCTACACATATGTAAACTCATACTTTAATTGGATACATTAAAGCCAAAAATCGAAGCCTTTTTTAGATCACTTTAATTGGGTTCAACCGAATTCGATAGCCTATAATTTAACACATACCTGAATCAGACATGGTTAATACAATAGGAATTTCGCGAAATGGTCTTCCAAATCTACACGCAGTCTCCTTTTCTTCTCTGTGATGGGATGCAGTAGAAAATGAATAATACGTTGCCTGTGATCTGGAGACCAAAACTTATTTATATAGGGATGCCCTTTGACCTAATTCGGCCCATCATAGAATTAGGATTTGGGCTCGGTCTCTACACATATGTAAACCCATACTTTAATTGGATACATTAAAGCCAAAAATCGAAGCCTTTTTTAGATCACTTTAATTGGGTTCAACCGAATTCGATAGCCTATAATTTAACGCACAATTATTCACACATACAAGTCCATATTTAATTAAAAATCCTTACAAAAAAATCCAACTAAAATGAGAGATCATCAATCAAGACATAATAACATTTAAATCTTGACGGAGATGTAATTGTAGACGAACCCCACAAGTCATGATGATGTCTTTCAAATAAAAAAGAGCAATGTTAATCTAAATTAGAAAAAACCAAAACAAGGATCAATATTAAACTCGTTCTTATTAGAAAATAAAATAGCACCATGCTTATGTAAAGATGACAAAATCCTAATAGAAGGAAGTCCTAAACGTGCATGCCAAATGACAGAGGTGGCACAATTATAACAAAGAGCAGCAGAAGACAAAAAGTTTGCATGGGCATGATCAAGCACATGGAGGCCTTTTTCACATCAATCTTCCCACCACCGCTCTTTTTGCCAGAGCCTGTATAACAAAGCCAGTAGAAGAAAGTGTTATTGGAAAATTGTTCTCTTGAGTAAACTTAATGATGAAAATAAGATTTTTGGTAATGCCAGGAACAAGAAGAACATTAGTCATAGGTAACGAATGGGAAGCAACAATAGACCAAATAGACTCAACAAGAGATATAGGTAAAGAATGACCATTACCAACAAACACCTTTTCAATACCATTGTAAGGAATGGAGGAGTCAAAAGTCGATGCAGCATTAGTCATATGTGATGTTGACCCTTTACCTGTGTACCACTAGTGTCGAGAGAGTCTGTAAGAGAGGTCTCTGAAAAAGCTTCAATGGGACCACCATCTTTAGCCTTTTTAGCAACTTACCAAGTTTATAACATTTCTTGGCTGTGTGATTATCTTTTCGACACCATTGACATGCAACAGCAGCAGATTTGGAAGAGTTGCAACGGTCCACTTTGGGAGAGGTGTAATGTTTGTTTCGACTAGAAGAAATGGTGGAAGAGCCACGGTTAGAAATGAGGGCAAATTGCTGTTGAGCTTCACCATGAATGGATTGAGAGAAGAGCTCATGGCTAAGTGCTTGCGGGGACCATGTTGGCGAAGGAAGGCAGTGGACGTTGTGACAGTATAGTGGTGGAAAAAAATTTAAAATCAGGGCTAAGATCCCCAAGAAACCAATGTACTATAACTATATCATCAAGAAACTTTCCAATGGCAATAAATTTATCACAGAGAAAACGAAAAGAGTGAGTATATTCAGTCACACTACGAGAGCCATGCTGGAGCAATTGAAGTTTGTCTAGCTGAATCTCACGTGTCTTGGAGCTGTGAGAATATGACGTTTCGAGGGTCAACCAAGCATAACTGGAAATAGCACAATTGACAATCTCGGCCATACAGTCCTCGGACATGGGAAGCATAAATGAGGCTAAGCAGCATACGATCTTGAGTACGCCATTTCTTGTAGGCCTGATTTGGAACCTAGCCAATACCTTCGATAATAACAGGGGAAGGTGTAATGGATGATCCGTCTAAAAAATCTTAGGGACTGAATTATTAAATCTGAAACTTAAAGGCCCAAATCTCAATATAACTTAAAGGTTAGGGACTGAAACCTTAAATTTATAACCCTAACCCTAATTGCAACCAGGGGCCTCAACTTATCTAATTTACAGAAGAGGCCCTCGTCCCAAAATTCAGCCAAAAAACCAGAAAACCCTAAAAGAAAAATTTTTCTTCTTTTTGGCGCCCGTCGGCGCCGCCTGAAGCAATGGCGCCGGCGTGGGCGCCGCAGCATCTGTGGCGGCAAGGTCGTCGGCGAATTCAATTTTTTTTTTTTTTTAAATCTGTACTAAAATCTGAATTCCAAATCTGAATTTTCTAAACTGAATCAATCCGAATGAAAATAACAAAATTATACCGCAAAAATTTTCAAATTTAACAAAACATATAATCAAAAATTGTTAAATCTGAAAATTTCAAAATATATTGCAAGAACCAAACTAAAACCTTTAATTCTCAATGATTCAACATGAAGAGGCTCTGATACCACTTGTTGGATAATTTAGTTCTTTAAATTACCAGATCTTTCATGTTAAATCATCAAGAAATATAAGAATTAAAACGGAAACATACCTGAATCAGACATGGTTAATACAATAGGAATTTCGCGAAATGGTCTTCCAAATCTACACGCAGTCTCCTTTTCTTCTCTGTGATGGGATGCAGTAGAAAATGAATAATACGTTGCCTGTGATCTGGAGACCAAAACTTATTTATATAGGGATGCCCTTTGACCTAATTCGGCCCATCATAGAATTAGGATTTGGGCTCGGTCTCTACACATATGTAAACCCATACTTTAATTGGATACATTAAAGCCAAAAATCGAAGCCTTTTTTAGATCACTTTAATTGGGTTCAACCGAATTCGATAGCCTATAATTTAACGCACAATTATTCACACATACAAGTCCATATTTAATTAAAAATCCTTACAAAAAAATCCAACTAAAATGAGAGATCATCAATCAAGACATAATAACATTTAAATCTTGACGGAGATGTAATTGTAGACGAACCCCACAAGTCATGATGATGTCTTTCAAATAAAAAAGAGCAATGTCAATCTAAATTAGAAAAAACCAAAACAAGGATCAATATTAAACTCGTTCTTATTAGAAAATAAAATAGCACCATGCTTATGTAAAGATGACAAAATCCTAATAGAAGGAAGTCCTAAACGTGCATGCCAAATGACAGAGGTGGCACAATTATAACAAAGAGCAGCAGAAGACAAAAAGTTTGCATGGGCATGATCAAGCACATGGAGGCCTTTTTCACATCAATCGATTCCCACCACCGCTCTTTTTGCCAGAGCCTGTATAACAAAGCCAGTAGAAGAAAATGTTATTGGAAAATTGTTCTCTTGAGTAAACTTAATGATGAAAATAAGATTTTTGGTAATGCCAGGAACAAGAAGAACATTAGTCATAGGTAACGAATGGGAAGCAACAATAGACCAAATAGAATCAACAAGAGATATAGGTAAAGAATGACCATTACCAACAAACACCTTTTCAATACCATTGTAAGGAATGGAGGAGTCAAAAGTCGATGCAGCATTAGTCATATGTGATGTTGACCCTTTACCTGTGTACCACTAGTGTCGAGAGAGTGTGTAAGAGAGGTCTCTGAAAAAGCTTCAATGGGACCACCATCTTTAGCCTTTTTAGCAACTTACCAAGTTTATAACATTTCTTGGCTGTGTGATTATCTTTTCGACACCATTGACATGCAACAGCAGCAGATTTGGAAGAGTTACAACGGTCCACTTTGGGAGAGATGTAATGTTTGTTTCGACTAGAAGAAATGGTGGAAGAGCCACGGTTAGAAATGAGGGCAAATTGCTGTTGAGCTTCACCATGAATGGATTGAGAGAAGAGCTCATGGCTAAGTGCTTGCGGGGACCATGTTGGCGAAGGAAGGCAGTGGACGTTGTGACAGTATAGTGGTGGAAAAAAATTTAAAATCAGGGCTAAGATCCCCAAGAAACCAATGTACTATAACTATATCATCAAGAAACTTTCCAATGGCAATAAATTTATCACAGAGAAAACGAAAAGAGTGAGTATATTCAGTCACACTACGAGAGCCATGCTGGAGCAATTGAAGTTTGTCTAGCTGAATCTCACGTGTCTTGGAGCTGTGAGAATATGACGTTTCGAGGGTCAACCAAGCATAACTGGAAATAGCACAATTGACAATCTCGGCCATACAGTCCTCGGACATGGGAAGCATAAATGAGGCTAAGCAACATACGATCTTGAGTACGCCATTTCTTGTAGGCCTGATTTGGAACCTAGCCAATACCTTCGATAATAACAGGAGAAGGTGTAATGGATGATCCGTCTAAGAAGCCCACAAGATCTTGGCTTTCAAGAAGGGAAACAAACTGATTGCGCCACAAAAGAAAATTGGACGTAGTGAGTTTGATGGTCACTATATGGATCGTCGTATTGAGTGGAAGCATACTAGAACTAGAGCTAGAATCAGCCATGGAAAAAAAAAAAAAAAAGGTGTGAACCATGGAGCACTGATACAATGAAAAAGAATCTCTCAATGTTATTAATGAATACATAGGTAGTGTATTTATACATAAAATACAGTATGCATCACTTTGAGCTCCAATTTCCCACTGGAGCATCACTTTTGGCAAATAAATATATAATTTCGATATTCTCACGAAGGAGAGGCAAATCAATCTTGACCTTCAAAAAAAAAAAAACAAATGTATCCCACTCAAAATTTATGTCAAAATCAGTCCTTCAATCCATTTTTTCCAACATCAACCATCCAATCTTCACTATGTTCATAGACAAGCAGTTAACTGTGTTTGCCTCTAATATATCCTTCTGTGCATCGGGAAGCGTAAAAAAGGACCACTTGCCAATGCAAAACTAAAGAAAATGGAAAGAAGAAGTTGTCTTAATAATAATAAGTTGTGTGTTTAATTCACTCGTAAATGAGTATTAATTATTTTTTCTAAAAATTGTAAAAGAAATAGTATACATTATTTTTTAACATTAGAATCTAACTCGGCAATTTTCGTTGTACGAGATTCCTGAGAAATAGGATCAATTTGATCAAACAATTTATTGATAAAAGCAATAAAACCAACTTTGCCATAACCCTTTCCAAACAAGAAAGGTTAAATGCAACATGATATTAAGGCAATAAGAGTAATCAAAGTTCGTCATGCGAATCTAATTGATCAGAAAATGAAGGAAATTCGATTTCAGAACCACATCTTTCATGTGGGAAAACTGGACATTTAATGAAATTGGATGCTGAGGTATTGACACACAGGTAAACTTGGAATAGCTGATTATTCCCTGATGAATCCACATTGCATTCTATGGACGGAGCATACCCGATGCCTTCTTCAATTTTATATCATCAAGAAACTTTCCAATGGCAATAAATTTATCACAGAGAAAACGAAAAGAGTGAGTATATTCAGTCACACTACGAGAGCCATGCTGGAGCAATTGAAGTTTGTCTAGCTAAATCTCACGTGTCTTGGAGCTGTGAGAATATGACGTTTCGAGGGTCAACCAAGCATAACTGGAAATAGCACAATTGACAACCTCGGCCATACAGTCCTCGGACATGGGAAGCATAAATGAGGCTAAGCAGCATACGATCTTGAGTACGCCATTTCTTGTAGGCCTGATTTGGAACCTAGCCAATACCTTCGATAATAACAGGGGAAGGTGTAATGGATGATCCGTCTAAAAAGCCCACGAGATCTTGGCTTTCAAGAAGGGAAACAAACTGATTGCGCCACAAAAGAAAATTGGACGTAGTGAGTTTGATGGTCACTATATGGATCGTCGTATTGAGTGGAAGCATACTAGAACTAGAGCTAGAATCAGCCATGGAAAGAAAAAGGTGTGAACCATGGAGCACTGATACAATGAAAAGGAATCTCTCAATGTTATTAATGAATACATTGGTAGTGTATCTATACATAAAGTACAGTATGTGATAAATATTAAAGATAAATATAAACTATTTACATGATAAATACAAAATAAGTAAGAACCTAATCTAGTTTGTATTATGAATAAAAATAGAATAAACTAAACTGAATAGGAGTCTGTAGTTGGAGGCCATAGAGATTGGTATGCTAAGATTAAGGTAATACTTTCCGATATTCATCAATGGATTTTCCTCCAATAGATTCTCCTCCAATACCCATTCATGAAGATTTAGTATTTCAGCAAATGTAACAACAAGGTTTGGTCTTATTGCTGAAAGGAGGATTGGTCAACTTAGGTATCAAGTTGCTACTACTGTAGCTAAAGCTGATTAGGGTGCTTGGAGTAATGTCAAAAGGATGCGGATTTTAATTTTTTAGCGTCTTTTGATTGTGTCTGAATAAGATTTTTATTCTTTGAAACAGAGTTCTTTTAATTGCTAAATATTTCTTTTGATTGGTGAAATATTTATTTAAAAAAATAGCTTCAAAACGACAATGTGCAAATGAACATTGTTGAAAAGTAATGATGACATGCAAATGAATGTTGTTGAAAAATAACAATAATGTTCAGATGCATATTGCTAAAACATTAATGACAATGTGCAAATGGACATTGTTGAAAGGTAATGGCAAGCTAAAAATTAGTGACAACGCATTTTGCATCCTTTAGCAACATGCATTTTTTGTTGATATATCCATTTATTCCACGTCAACATCGAATTCTGCAACATATAGCTGCACCTTGGTAACGATCCACAGCAACACATTTTGCCCGGTGTAAAATGCTATTTTCCTGTACTAACATTTTATCCCATTATGATGTATACCACAAAACAAATATTATTTCCCTAATGTGTGTCCATATTATATCATCTGTCACAAAAAATAATTTTATTAATTATAGTAAAAATAGAACAAGTAATCTAAAATTGCAGGAAATAATAAAAGAGTGAATGAATTTTCAACCAAGGCCTGTGTAAAAACAATTTCCTTAAAACAGATTCGTCCCTCATTGTAGGTGTTTGAGGTTTAATTTGAGCATCAGCTACTCAAGATACAATAGAAAAACAGTAGAGTTTGAGCACTACAAACACTACTCCGACGATTTGACTCAGTATTTTAACGCTATCACCAAGATCTTGACAGAATGTATAATTATGTATGTAGAGAGAGAAAAAAATTATGCAGAGAAACGAGTTTTTTTCTGTGCCTGCAAGGAAGGAAGATAACTAGATAAATAAGTTGCAAATGAGAATTAACAGGCTAGGAGTTATTTCATTAACCACCATTAACCTGGCTGTTAATATCTCCATTAACACAAACATGATCATATGGGTTTCAGGAGTTAAAAGAATTTGGAATTTTTTTATTGGAAAAATAATAAAATAAAGGCAAAACATTGACCCTCCTAAGGAGCTAATTTTTGTTTCATTCGGTTTAGTATTCGTGTACGCAGATTGTACCCACACACAAGTTCAAGGTCCAAAGTCTATTTCGGTCCGTGATTTATGCCGTCGTACATGCATATGGAAAGAGCCTTTGTACTACACATTATTCCACCAATCCAAAGTATAATCATATTTAAAGTGGTCAGTGCATTTATCAATTTTTCTATGTGGGATAACTTTAAATTAGTTTCCCTTCTAATACAAAATCTCATCCAATGCATCACTTTGAGCTCCAATTTCCCACCGGAGCATCACTTTTGGCAAGTAAATAAATGATTTCGATATTCTCATGGAAGAGAACGCAAATCAATCTTGATCTTCCAAAATAAACAAATGCGTCCTACTCAAAATTTATGCCAAAGTGAGTCCTTTAATCCATTTTTTCCAACACCAACCATCCAACCTTCACAATGTTCATAGAAAAGCAGTTAACTGTGTTAGCCTCTAATATATCTTTCCGCGCATAGGGAAGCGTATAAAAGGACCACTTGCCGATACAAAACTAAAGAAAATGGAAAGAAGAAGGAAGTTGTCTTTTCTTGTATTATTGAAATGTTTTAATTAAAAATTATAAAAAAAATAAAATACGTTGTGTGTTTAATTTACTCGTAAATGAGTATTAATTATTTTTTCTAAAAATTGTAAAAGAAATGGTATACATTATTTTTTAACATTAGAATCTAACTCGGCAATTTTCGTTGTACGAGATTCCTGAGAACTAGGATCAATTTGATCAAACAATTTATTGATAAAAGCAATAAAACCAACTTTGCAATAACCCTTTACAAATAAGAAAGGTTAAATTCAACATGATATTAAGGCAATAAGAGTAATCAAAGTTCGTTATGCGAATCTAATTGATCAGAAAATGAAGGAAATTCGATTTCAGAACCACATCTTTCATGTGGGAAAACTGGACATTTAATAAAATTGGATGCAGGTAAACTTGGAATAGCTGATTATTCCCTGATGAATCCACATTGCATTCTATGGACGGAGCATACCCGATGCCTTCTTCAATTGCTTGCTTTACACTCTCTAAACTGTAGAATTTTCCAGGTTGGATTCCTACGACAAAATCTCACTTGAGTTAATCTTGTTTAGAACGTCGCCTAAATTTGGTTCGATTACATTTTGAGCCTTGTAACGTACCTGCATTTTTAAGGACTTGTAGCAAATTGGCTTTCTTCTTGAGATCAAGAGCTGATTGGAAGTACGTGTGTTGATCAAGGGTGGTACATGTTCCGTGTTTATCCCCTTCATGACTCCAGAATTTGAAGCCATCGCCGCTTGGGCAGGCTAGGGTCGGCCAATCCTTTTGCATTCTGCTGACAAGATCTGAGACCTGTATAATACAATATTCATACTCACCATTAAAAATCTTGATAATAAATGAATGACGATAAGGCTGGAATTTATCTGCATTAATAACATATTTGCTCAAGAGGGCTTTATTTTTAATGTTTTGTAATTTTGTCATCTTTTTATTGCCTTTTTTTTTTTTTTTTATCATTAGTTTCCGTTAAATTTTTTTTTTTTTTTTCCAAGTTAGGGGGACAAATATTGCAATTTTTATTAGGATTGCATTTAGGTTAATTTTAAGGTTCCCCCGAAATTTTGTTGATCATACCAAGTATTCTGTATTATGTAAAAACTAATGAATATTTGATTTCTAAATTTGCAGTCTTTTAACTGCAAATCAAGTTCATTGAACTGCCTAAAATATAAAACTTAATGCTAATTAAGTTGAAGTTGTTAAGTTATTCAAGAGTTATAGTCGTCTGCTGTTTGTTTTTTTTTTTTTTTTAAATGATAAGAAATCTAATATATTGTTTTTTAAATCTTCAATTTGGAAACTAGTAAAAATTTTTATGTCAAACCTATGAATGAACCTACAAAATCCTTCAAATTTTATCTGATTAAATCGAGGTACTTTTTAGTCTAGCGACAATATATAATGTATATATATTTTGATATTACAAGATTTTTTAGATTTGATGGATCCCAATTTCATATGGGTTCCCCCCCCCCCCTCCCCCTCCCCAAAAAAAAAGCATAACACAGAGATTTGGAAAAATATGGTCTAACGATAATTCAAGTTGATGGTGCATGCAGGGACGGACCCATATGGGGTCATGTAGGGTCAAATGACCCCACAAAATTTTGCCCCTTTTTTTTTTTTTTTATACACAAAATTTTGCCCCTTTTCTTTTTTTATATTAACAATCTACTTTGATGTACTTGTCAGGATGTCTAATAAAATCAAAATATTGCATTTTTAATAACATTTCGAAGTGCTCATGGCCTAGTTTTTCACTCATTAATGGCATACGAAATGGTCAACTATAGCAAAAGTTATGACATGTTAAAATAGGGTGTTTGAAACTAGTATTTTGAGAATTTCGATAATATCCTAATTTTAAAACTTCGTTTGCGATCATGTGCTATCTGAATCCACAAATCGTCTATGTCATGTAAAAGTTTGTTTCAAAAACTACATCGTTTTCATATTGAATTGTCCAAACGAATATCGAAAATAGTTAAATATGTATCAAACGTACACCTCAAAAAAGACGTCTAACTCGTTTTTTGTTTTAAAAAATTCAATTAATTATTATTTTTGCACGATAAATTTTTCAATATAATTTATATCGTTTCATCCGGAGGTCTTACATGAAATACGATGTAAATTTTTAGGGTCGTTATGTATTAAATTTAATTTGAATTACTTTTGAATTATATTTGCTTTAAATTTGAATTTCATTTACTTTCTAAACTAAACTTGAATTGTATTTCAATTAATTTAATTTCTATATTCAATTTAATTTACTTAATGTTAGCTCAGCATTTGAGAATGAAATGGTAAACAAAACTATACAAATAGCAAAATTTATTTAATAATATTAATAATGATGTAATTATACGACGTTTTCAAAGCGTCAAAATACATATAAACTTATTTTCATTAATATTATGTTGTTTATTAAAAAAATTATTTTTAAAATTTTGACCCCAGAATACTAAAGGTCTGGATCCGCCCCTGGGTGCAAGCTACGTGAAACCTAACAATATTGATGATCGAGACAGTGATATATAGCATTTCCTTTTTACATTGATAGTATAAATATTGATATTATTGAAACTAAATCATGACAGGCAACTTCCACAAAGATTTTACCATCTTTATTTCAAGAATTTCCATGTAACTAGAATTAGGAGAAATGTACCTCGGATTGATTGAAAGAGTTCTTCCGATCACAGTTTGATGGCCATTTTCCGTTGTTATAATTCGGCCAAAGGCCATGAATGCTGAAATCTTCTGCAGGCTTTCCTGTTTTAGGATAGCAGCAGCTATGTCTTGAATCACAATAAGAAGCAGGCCACTGTACAACCAAATGTGACAAACAGATACATTTTTTAATAAAGCTTAATACTAAACATTATGTAGGGTTCGTTTGGCATGACTTTTCAAAAGGTAAAAGGAGCTTTTGAAATCAAAAAACTATTTTTAGACTCGTTTAGCTAATTTTATGAATGTGCTTCTTCTAATCAAAGAATTTTTAAAAGAAGTTGATCCAATGCAACTTTTTCTTAAATACTTTCGGAATAAGAAACTCTTCTAAAAATTAGTTTTCAAATAAAAGTAAAGATAGCTTCCTCCAAAACCTTTTCTATAAAAAGTGAAAACAAAAGTCATGTTAAATGGCAGTAAAAACCGAAACAAGTCTTATTGGTTCGATGCTCATGACAAAAATTTACACATCCGCTCCATCTAGTCCAATATACACAAAACAATGCAAATAAACAAATAAACGCGCAACCCATCATATATGTGCTATATATAGATGATTTTACATAAGATATATGTTGTGTTATTAGTATGAAAAGTTCACAAACCTGTTGAACAAAGTAGAAGAAATCAAAATCCTGTGAAGCACATAAAATTGATAGATATTGTAAAACCAAAAGCTGGATCCATGCTGAATTCTTAACTTTCATCATTCTATATTTTGAACTTTACCTTCCTTTCACTTCAACACTTTATCACAATAGGTGATGACAGTTTATATTTATAAGCAAAAGTTATGGATGAAGGATGGAATATCACAACAAGTATATACCTAATTGTCATATTATTTTATTACTCGGATTGCGATTAAGGGGATTAATCACATGTCAATATGCTCTTGCTAAGGGTTAGCGAACTTACTTCCATGTGCTTATCCTAATATATCACACTAAATAATTAAATTATTTAGTCCATCGATCTAGAGGTTTGGATTAATAATTTATTGAATTTTCTTAAATTTAAAAGCTTGAGTAATTAAATTCTTCATTAACTCTCTATTAATTACTACTAATTTATTGAATCAAGACAACAAACTGTTAATTTTTAGGAAAATTCCGAATGTACAGAATTTTCCTTTACAGAATTTGGCCAGAACTCTCACTGTGTGCAGGCCCCATGTGTGATATAAAATGTCAAAAAATCAACCACCCACCCCACCGATGTGTCTTTTCTGTAAATTATCTGTAAGCAAAAATTCTGTAAGTGTAGCTTCTCTCTAATTTTTAATATTTTCTTCTTGGCTTTTGCAAAATTTCATTAAAAAAAAAAATGCATTTAGAGATAATCTATTATATTTGTATCTGACTGGATTCATTTTTATGTCAAACACTAAAACGTAACACTTTTCATAACCGAATGACGTAAATTATTAAACTTATATCCACATTTTGAACGTTATCCATATTATTTTTGCACAAAGCCTATTAGTTTTATTAAAATGAGAAAATACAAACCAGAGAAGTGAAGAAAGAAGAAGCAAAGAATGGCTCCATTAATTAATTATTTGAGCTCCAGGAGGACCTGGACTTTCTCTTCAGCTCTATTTATGCATTTTAATTATCCACAAAACTAATTATATTACCTTTTTTTTTTTAATAATAAACTCATAATCAATGAAACGAGACTGATTCTTGATGCTTTTTCTTGTAAATAAAACCGTTAATTAGAGGATCTTAATCCTTCATTTTCCACCACGAAATCGATGTCTATTGATCAAAGTATACTAAAATACTAAACAAATTCAAAGTATTTTTAGATTTCAGTTTCTTGTCGGGCAAGTACTGTTTTCCAGTTTAATAATTCATTTATTTGATCATCAACTTTTAAGCTGAAGCCGGGGGTCCCCTGACCTTTAAGGGTATAAAGATTAACAACTTATTTTATTAGATCACAAACAGGATGACCAAATAAATACAATTATAAATTAGTTTCACACGGAATCGTGTCCTTTTCAAAAATAATATTCCTTTAGGTTTCCAAGAAACTCTTTTTAGTTGAGTCTGAGATCTAGTTGGAGTGTGATTTAAATTTTGAAATTAGATAATTACACAAGAACATTATTTGTATTGTTTATGTGACTGATTTGATTCAATTATAATAATTACTAATTATTAATTTAATGAATAAATATTTGCTTATTATATTCAATTTTCCAAAGTTCATCGGCAGCAACTATGTTCCACCGATCTCTATGTAGTTTTGATCTGGGTCGAGTCAATGAGCTTGGTTATTGACAACTTTGCCCCATTTTGGAATGAACTCCATCTTTTTGTTCTTCTAAATGGTTAGTTAGCCGGTAATGTAAAGTTATTTTGTGTTAAGCCATCACATTTCATGTTAATAATGTACCACATGGACCCCTCATGGGGTGATCGAGTTGGTGGAGCGGGTGAGTGTGAAAATCATTGATCACGAGTTCAATTCCTCCTACTAACACTTTCTCGGTTGAGCGGGGTTTGCCTAGTGCGGTTTATCTGGCTGGCGTGGTTTGCAAACTATTGCGTCAGTTCGAGGGTTTACCCAGTGTGCACCCAAAGGGTAGCGGTTGCGGATTTCCCCGTCATAAAAAAAAATAAAAATAATAATAATAATAATAATAATAATAATAATAATAATAATAATAATGTACCACATGGATCTCGTTGTTGGATCCAACACAATGGTTTAATAATTTTTACTCCCAATTAAGGTTTTAATTTTAGGTGTGATCCCCCAGAAAATAAGGTCAGTAGGCCGGATTAATGGTCTTATACTTTTAAAGTTTGAAGTTACAACCATATCTTTAATGCAAACATTAAGGTTCATGACGACTATTGATTGACATGTTGAATTGATCCAACACCAATTAGGATGTACCTTTGAGGACTCAATGTGAAAGAGAAAAGCATACCGTTTTGCCCTTAGATAAATTATTGATTACCAATCGAAATTGGGGAGAATGATTGAAGGGCAAATAAGTAAATTTCAAGACATACTGAGGGCAAACATGATATTTAGTGGTAAATGGTGGATTTTCAAATTTGGCTCAGGTAAATCAGTTGCTTTTTCTGCTGGCCGTTAATGCTTTTACTATTACAAAAATTAAATTGAAGGAAAGAAAGAAAGGGAGTCAAATGAAAGCTTAATAGAATTGAGCTTATTCAATGGAGTATATAAAACATTCTCTTTTCTATTTAGATTCTTGGACCAGTTTATGATGTCAAGAGCTCTTTGCCTCCCTTTCTATTAATCAGAAGAGACATTCCCACTTACTTGATAGATGCATTTCTCGTATATTTTTTTCCGTTCCTTTGATCTTGAACATCTCGACGTTAGAGACAAAAGCAAAAATTCAATTACTTTAACTTGTTAACCTATTTGTCGACTTCTTTCATAAAAGATAACACAAGATAATCAATTGTGAGGAAAGAAATAAGGTGATCAATTTTTAATTTACGTAACAAAAAGAAGCATGATAAAGTGAATAAGAACAAGTCTTGACAATATGTAATTATTGTCCATCTTTTCATAGTTTCTCTTCCTCGTTTATTTTTCCTCTGAACAAGGATCTGTGGGCAAAGTAAAGGGAATAGGCCACATTTATGAATAGTAACTTCTTTGAATGCAACAATTTTTGACCTATTTGAGGACATCTTATATAGTTCATCAATTTTTTGTACCGCAACACTTTTTTCCCATTGATCTATAGTCGGGATAGATAATGAAAATTTTATGGACATCTATACTCTCTTATCCAATCTTTCAATGCAATGGCATAAGAAGATCTTTTATTGCTAAAATTAAGATACAATTCAATGGTCAATGCATAAACAAGTTTAGCCATTTTAGTGATCATCAATGGCAATAGTATGCAGCCCAAAAGATGGGCTAAAATGAAGGGAACTCAATACTTGAGGTACATCTTCCATTTGGCAAAACAGGACATGAACCNGAAATCTTCTGCAGGCTTTCCTGTTTTAGGATAGCAGCAGCTATGTCTTGAATCACAATAAGAAGCAGGCCACTGTACAACCATATGTGACAAACAGATACATTTTTTAATAAAGCTTAACACTAAACATTATGTAGGATCCGTTTGGCATGACTTTTCAAAAGCTAAAAGGAGCTTTTGAAACCAAAAAACTATTTTTAGACTCGTTTAGTTAATTTTATGAACGTGCTTCTTCTAATCAAAGAATTTTTAAAAGAAGTTGATCCAATGCAACTTTTTCTCAAGTGCTTTTGGAATAAGAAACTCTTCTAAAAATTAGTTTTCAAATAAAAGTAAAGATAGCTTCCTCCAAAACCTCTTCTATAAAAAGTGAAAGCAAAAGTCATGTTAAACGGGTCAGTAAAAACCGAAACAAGTCTTATTTGTTCGATGCTCATGACAAAAATTTACACATCCGCTCCATCTAGTCCAATATACACAAAACAATGCAAATAAACAAATAAACGCGCAACCCATCATATATGTGCTATATATAGATGATTTTACATAAGATATATGTTGTGTTATTAGTATGAAAAGTTCACAAACCTGTTGAACAAAGTAGAAGAAATCAAAATCCTGTAAAGCACATAAAATTAATAGATATTGTAAAACCAAAAGCTGGATCCATGTTGAATTCTTAACTTTCATCATTCTATATTTTGAACTTTAACTTCCTTTCACTTCAACACTTTATCACAATAGGTGATGATAGTTTATATTTATAAGCAAAAGTTATGGATGAAGGATCGAATATCACAAAAAGTATATACCTAATTGTCATATTATTTTATTACTCGGATTGCGATTAAGGGGATTAATCACATGTTAATATGCTCTTGCTAAGGGTTAGCGAACTTACTTCCATGTGCTTATTCTAATATATCACACTAAATAATTAAATTATTTAGTGCATCGATCTAGAGGTTTGGATTAATAATTTATTGAATTGTCTTAAATTTAAAAGCTTGAGTAATTAAATTCTTCATTAACTCTCTATTAATTACTACTAATTTATTGAATCAAGACAATAAACTGTTAATTTTTAGAAACATTCTGAATGTATAGAATTTTCCTTCACAGAATTTGGCCAGAACTCTCACTATGCGCGGGGACCCATGTGTGATATAAAATGCCAAAAGTTCAACCACCCACCCCACCAATGTGTCTTTTCTGTAAATTATCTGTAAGCAAAAATTCTGTAAGTGTAGCTTCTCTCTAATTTTTATTATTTTCTTCTTGGCTTTTGCAAAATTTCAATAAAAAAAAAAAAAAAAAAGGCATTTAGAGATAATCTATTATATTTGTATCTGACTGGATTCATTTTTATGTCAAATACTAAAACGTAACACTTTTCATAACCGAATGACGTAAAGTATTAAACTTATATCCACATTTGAACGTTATCCATATTATTTTTGCACAAAGCCTATTAGTTTTATTAAAATGAGAAAATACAAACCAGAGAAGTGAAGAAAGAAGAAGCAAAGAATGGCTCCATTAATAAATTATTTGAGCTCCAGGAGGACCTGGACTTTCTCTTCAGCTCTATTTATGCATTTTAATTATCCATAAAACTAATTATATTACCTTTTTTTTTTTTTTTTTAATAATAAACTCACAATCAATGAAACGAGACTGATTCTTGATGCTTTTTCTTGTAAATAAAACCGTTAATTAGAGGGTCTTAATCCTTCATTTTCCACC